AAAAATGAGAAAAGAAGGAAAAAATGGGAACAAAGTCTTTGTAAATAGGGAGGGGTGGAGGGGTGGCAGGAAGGGAAGGGGAATGGGAAAAAAATGATTCAAGATACATCATGTACAGGTACAAATTCCCAATGATGAATACAATCATAAAGTATACCTAAAATGTACCAATAAACTTAATTTTTAAAAAGACTAACTTATATCACCAGTTCTCCTAGGTAGCAAGCTTGTTTTCTGCAGACTGTGGGAGTTCTCAGCCTTCATATCATGCAAATCAATTTCTTTTAATAAATAAATCTATGTATCTCCTATTGATGCTGTTACTCTGGAAAATCATTAATACAAGTGTAAAGGTAAAGATTGGTGAGAATGATACAAATGATAAGAATGGTATAAGGATAAGTGTGCTAGAACTATAATGGAAAAGATCCTTCTGAGAAGACTTTCAGAAGAAAATCAAGAGGAGTTAGAAGCATATTAGTGGTGGCAAGGACATTATTAAAGATGAGACAAAGATGAAATTCTTAAAAACAGTGAATCTATCCACTTCAAAAGGTTCAACAAAATCAGATCAACTCTATGAGGCTCGACTTTTCTCCAGATCTATAGTTCTTTCTGTATACACATGCAACTACTTTATACACATGTAATTGTACAAGCTACTCTTGTTAATGTTCATTTTAAACTGTGAACCTATGAAAAATACTGGGCTTATAATATTTCATCTATTATACATATAAAATGAATACATGGAATATTTTTATGTGAAGATATGAAAATTCTGAAACATAAAATTTTGTAAGAGTTCAGGAAGTGTTCTCAGGTATGTACCTGTTTCATCACTCAGTATCTACCAAATCCAATTTTCCTGTTCTTACAGTTTTTCTTCTATAGTAAAAACAGTAATAGTGAAGCAGCAAAATATGCTTTATAAGTATAATCTGATTGTAAGTTAGAACTTGGATCCTGGATGAACAATTAGTCACAAGGCTGGCTAAGTAGTATATGCCAAATGAAAATTAAGTACCTTATATGTCTTACAGAAATTTTGCATCAGTTTTACCTTTGAAGTAACTAGAAAAACAATTAGGGTATATATTAGTGGCTTAAGTAGTGTATGTCATCATTTCTTGACAACAAATTAGAATTGGTGTTTTACTAGAATACTTTATTTGGACATGACTTGTTGTTACGGCTTGTGTCTAGATGTCCCCCAAAAAGTTCATGATTCATAGGTAAGGCTTTTCAGAGGTGGCTGGATTTAGAGTGTGTCATGCTTAGGTTAAGTATGTGATGCTGGGATTAAGGGTGTGTGATTATTAAATTAGTCCATGGATTTGTTTGGAATAGTTATAGGCATGTATAATGGAAGGCCCACCCTGGGTGTGAGTTATATCCATTCTAAGAGCATGTAGCCTGGATACAATATAAGAGACAGAAAGAGGGCTACTGTCATCACTTGTTGCTTTGCTACTTCACTGCTTTAATGCCTTCTGCCCACCATGAACTGTTTCTCCTCTGTGATGGCACTCTGCCATGCCACCTTGCCTTGGAGCCAGCCAATTATGGTCTGAATCTCTACAAACTGTGAGCTACAATAAACCTTTCCTCCTTTAACACTGTGTGTCTGGTATTTGGGCTTAGCAATGAGAAAAGTAACTGAAACATTTCACCTATATTTTCTCTACCTATACTTTTAATTCCATTTCAAAGTTATCCCAAAAAAATCAAAGAAAATTCACCACCTGTCAGAGTTATGACAGATTTCATATTTGATCTCCAGATAAGTACATATTTATATTTTGTATATCCTAGTAAAGTGTCTTATGCAGAGATGTGTAAATAAGTTAATATCATGTTCTTACTAGAATATAAATATGACTTTAATAACTGATAATTAGTACTGGATTTTTAAAGTTTATGTGATATTAATTTATATAACACAAATTACATATTAGCTACAAAGTACAATAGCAAAATTAAATAAGTCTACTAACAGTATATTTCATTTTTAAAAGACAAAATTATGTATATGTTTATATAACAAATCATGTTTTAAAATATTCCTTTTAACCATCAACATTCAGTTGTGAACACTAATCAATAAATAAAATTTCTTCAAATTGGGTACTTTATGTCAATTCTTACTAATTTCATGTATTAACCATATGTTGAGTGACTATTATGTTTCATCATTATAAGAAAAAGAAATGAGACTTATTTTTTGATACCTAACTAACATCCAATTTTCTTTCTTACAGAAAATAGTAACTCAAATATTCTTAAAAATTATTCTTGATAACCTGTTTTTGATAACATTATACTATCAAACATTCTTTTTAAATTTTAATCTGTCTTATTACTTTCGCTAGCCACATAATTTTCTGTATTTTTCTCTTACCATAACTATTAAAAATTGTTACTGCTCTTTTCCTTTTATTTGAAAATAAAAGGAAATAATTATGTCAGTAGATTTTAATAACTAAAGGTGTTCAAAGGATTTGTATAATCTAAATTTTAATAATGAAGGAAACACACTGATTTTTTGACAGGGCACAGAACAGATCAGGTGTATTCATTAAGGAAAAAAACATGACCAAAAAGTAACAGATGTTGCCAGTTTAGTGAGTGAAGCCAAATTTACTTCAGTAATTCTCATTAAACTCAGGAGAGTTTAAGTGTTTTCAATAATGGTCAGAAGAAAAGAAAATGGAAGATTTGGTGAAGTGGAAAGATATTTTTCCAACTACGACTCAACTTACAAATACTAGTCTTCGTGTCTTTCACTTTCAAAAAACATTTTGAAAAGTCCAAATTACTAAAAATCATTTGCTCCACACTGGAATTGAGCAGGTAGAGGTCAATTTGTCCAGAACATGTAATAATCTAAAGTTTGGGAGCTGCCTCTGGGCACAGTAAAAGGGAATCAAAGAGAAATACCAAATAGGCCAGCTATAACACAAGGCACATATAATGGTGGAGAACCTGTTTTATAAAATTTCAGGAAGTTACTGAAGTTTCTTCCTTGCATTTAATTTTCAAGGGTTTTTTCTAATATTTTCTTAGATTTCTGACCTTTGCTTTATCAAATATACCTTTCATAGAGGGCCTAATAAATTAAGCAGGCTACTGAAGGCTGGAAGAAGCAAAGACAAAAGACATAGATATTCTATACTAAAAGAGGCTAAAATTTGGAAATAGGTCTTCCATCTTATTTATTCATTGATTCATAGACTAAATACCTGGTTGTTCAAGAGTCAGAAAGGACTATTTATGTATTTAAAGGCATGGTAAAGGAAGATCTACTGTAAGTTCTCTACCATCAAAAATTGAAATCTAGTGTAAAAAGACAGATAAAAGCAAAATTAATAGAGATAAGGAAACATGATAATGGATGAGAGTACACAAAGCAAACTTTCTGTACAATGTGTGTGGGGGGAGTTAATTAAGGTGCCACATTTAGTAAGGTAGTAAGAAAAGAACACAGGTGCTTAAGAACAGCAATTTGAAACTTCATGACAATATAATTTCTGTCAGTCTTCAAAAAGGGATCAGTGTAAAATTATAGACAAATCTTATTGATACCTATTTTGATGAAAAGAGAAAAAATACGTTGTATATCTAAAGAAATAACTGCCAAAAATTCTCATTTCACTATGAAAAATTTTTGAAAATGAATGTATAGACTTTCTAGATCATGCATTTATTTACAAATCTTACAAAAACAATAAAATAGAGAAAACAAAAAATAGCAAAATAAATGGAGATAAACCCCTGATGTTGTATAATGGATTTAATTAGCACTAATTTGTTGAAAGAACTATGAATGAAAGGGCATGGCAAAAAGGATGGGCACCCAGGGATCAGAAACAGTGGATTGTTATCTACCTTAAACTCCAAGGATAAGAGGAAGGATTGTTATCTCTAGAGCTTGAAAAGCTGTGGCCATTATGAAACTCAGTTACTGAAGGGATTCCAGACAGGCATCCCAGACAGGCAGGAGACAGAGTGAAATGATATCCCCAAACCACCTCATGGCAAACTCATTCTTCATGCCAGAGCGTCCCTCTAGCCAAACCTCAGCCAGAAGTTAAAATGCAAGGGTTATGCACTGGACTGGACAGTGGTCAGCCTCCTGTGTTTTAGAGACAGCAGGGAAAAAAATGATCTACAAATTCAGAGAAAATCACAGAGCTTAACTAGGGCAAAAGAATAATAGATTTAAACTTCAGCTTTCCTTAATCTGTTATGGATTTGTGATCTGTAAACTGAGCTAGACTGAACTTCATTTCCCAGAACTTTTTCTTTTATGTTTTCACTTATGGAGAACAGAAATGTAGCTCTGTATGCAGAGAAAAATGAATGGTGATTTACCCAAGATAGAAGTGCAATACTTCTCATGTGGAAGTCAGAATTAATACAGTCATGTGTTCAACAACGTTGGGAAAATCCAAGGTTGCTCGAATCTAGTACTGTGCTCTCCATTATAGGTTGTCCTCAGCTACTTTGCACATGATGGTTGGCTATGTTATCTAAATCCCAGACAGTGGGGACCAGGGCAAGAAGCACAAAGAGTGTGCTTCTTTAAAGGCATATTCTGGAGAAAATGAAAGTGTAAATGAGGGCTAAAATGTATAATAGATAATGTGAAATAGGAAGCAATGGTTCAATGCTTAAGGGAAAATACAGGGGGTGGGGGAAAGAAAAGAAGGAAAAAAGATGAGGAAAAGAAGGAAAAATGGAAACAAAAATTTATAAATAGGGAAGGGTGGAAGGATGGAAAGGAGGGAAGGGGAATGGGAAAAAACAAGAACATATCATGTACAGTTACAAATTCCCAATGATGAATATGATCATAATGTATATTTAAAATGTACCAATATAATTAATTTTTTAAAAAGCACATTCTAGACATTATACACATCACTTCTGTTCTTATCTCAACAACATTAATCACATGGTCAGACATAACTGAAAGGAAAGATGAGGTTGTAACTCACTTTTGTTTTTTTCTGAGATACAGTCTCTCTGTGTAGTCTGACATCGAACTCACAATCTTCCTGCCTCAGTCAGCTTCCTTGCTAACACTTGAAAATTCTAAAACCAAAAGTAAGTGGATTAGGTATACTAGATATATAACTGGACATCTTCAAGTTGCTCTTTGGAACCATTTGCTATAGCTGTACACACTCTTTTTAGGCGAAGAAACTTCTACATCTTATTTTATTAGTGCACACTCAAAACACACTTATAGGTGCAATACACAATTGTGACCATTATGTCTAAGTGGGGATTCTTATGAGCCAATACTCAATAAATAAAAGACAAGAGACCAGTCTATATACCCATTGTACAGAGTAGACAAAACATTACAGAAACTAAATGTCCTTTTTATAAAACAAAAGAATGATGTATTTCACCACAAGTTTTAAATCATACCAGATAAGATCAACAAAAACACTATTCCTTATAAGTGAAGAAAGTGCTTTTAATGTTCTATTGGCAGCTTCACTGTGGTTAGCATTACAAACATTGACTTTTTTATAGCACTCTCTACTTCTGTAGTGTGGGGAATCCTTCAGAGGTGATCTGATCACAGCTTATGTAAATCAAGCTTTTGGTATCTGTATTAATCTAATAGCCTGAAAACTTAATAGAAATCCAATCACTATGCTTTGGTCAATTCTATGGTTAAGTAAATATGTCATGTTTTTTCTGCATACACTTTATAAATTTGATAATTCAAATCATTTAACTCCTAGTTATGATCTCTGCTCATCCTCCTCTCCTGTGAAACAGTAGGCTTGGGTGAAAAATGAATCCCACTCATAAGATCTTTGAGCTATGCTGCACATCTCACTGCCTGAGAAATCTACTTGCTTCAATTAATAAAACAAAGTCAGTTGGCAGGTTGGTTTTTTTTGCATTTGCAATCCCAAACTCTCCAAAACTCAGTCAAATGATATTTCAAGCTGCATGTAGAGAGAACTTTGCAAATATGCTAATGTATAGGTGCCTCTCTATCTAAAAACACTTTTAAAATAATTACATTGTGTTTTCTGGATCTTATGTAGCATATTTTGTCTTTTTAGTATATCACAGGAAATAATTTTATTAAATATTATATTCCAACATAATATTATACCAGCTTTCCAGCCTCTAATATTTGTATTTCCATTCCTCAACTATTTTCAATGAAGCATCCTCACGGGCTTATAGTCCTACCAGAAGCACTCAGCCTCTAATTTTTGAAATATAGAGGGAAGCTAAAAAAAATTTAAGATATTTCTTAGAAGTGGGACTCAGGAATAGAAAAATCCATTTGACATTTATTTTTTTACTTCAAGGAAAACATAGAATAAAATAATATAGTTCTGCATGTATATTTACCTTACAACAAGAAGAACCAACCTAACCTTGGAGATCAGATTTAAATGTTTCACAACTATAAATTTCATCCAAACACATAAGATTAAGTGAACTACAGTAGAAGATGGTAGTACTCTATAAGGTAGTGATTCTCAATTTGGGTAACCCTGCCTTTGCCTTCCCCTTGTAGGGATCACTTGGCACTGTCTGTAGATGTTTTTGTTGGCTATGACTTAGAGAATAGAAGTCAAGGGCTCTGTAAGACTTCTTGCAATACTCAAATTAGCCTCCTCTCTGCAACACTAACACAAAGTCTCATCCAAATTCAAAATGGCAATTGTGCTAAACTTGAGAAACTCTACATAGGTCATCAGATAAAAAGAGAGAGATAAATCCATAACTATGAGGTATAAAATCATAAACATGGCACACCTAATCTCCACAATGAGCAAGCAAATGGCAGATATCTGAGAATAGCAGAGCATAAAAGTTTTAGCCTGTAGGTAGAGAGAAGTAGAGACTCTGTTATATTGTTTGAGTAAATTCATATTGCAGACTATCTAAAAACCCTGTGAACATGACAACTAATACTGGTCCTAAAATCTGCTAAAGTTTCCCTTAACATCAATATATTAATTGGTTTGACAAGGTCAGGGACCCTGAATTAGCATAAAACTCATCGAGTTCACTTTTGCAAAATTAAAACACTCCATTTATACATTTTATTTGTGGTGCGTCAGTTGCTTACTAGAGATTGATTAGTATAGTAATAAAGAGGAAGAAAAACAATTGTTTTGATGGATAGATGAACTCTCAGTACATATATACTTATTTAGTTATTTAATCTTCATTAGACTTATGAAAACTAGAATTTAATACCATGCATATTTCTTTGGGGAGCTTCATTTTTAATTAGCTATGACTAGCTCATTCTTTTCCCATTGATGAAATAATATACAAACTTCGTGCGTGTGTGTGTGTGTGTGCACTTGTGCACCTACAAGTAGGCTATTCTATTGTAAGCATTTTTAAATTTCTTCACACTCTAATGTATCTTCAGTAGAACACAATTAAATAAGACAAAATAAAGGGCTATTGCAATTGAAATACCTAGATTTTGATATCAATTTTATTTACATAATTTCAAATTTTAACTTGTCTGAAAGCTAACTCTAAGCTGACTTTTCAGAAAACCAAAGGAAAATCTTTTAAAATAGCAATTTGTTTAATACCATACTGTCATGAGGTTAATCAAAGTTAATCAAAGTAATCAAACTTATCTTACTAAAATAACATTTCAAATTTCAGATTTAAATGCAGTCTCTCTGATTTTTAAAAACTTTTTAAAAAATAAATGAAAACTAAAGAGATATAATCTATAAGTCTCAAGAATATATTTTTATTTAATAAATAAAATTGAGTTTTTATATAATTAGATAAAAGATTTCTGCTTTTTAAAAAAAGCTATATGTATCCTCAGCTACACACACACACAAATACATTTAACACCTTGGAAGGTTGTACACCACATTAGTGATCAAATATTTATTTTGAGAGAAATATAGAAAGGGAGAGAAAATTGGAAGATAGGTGTCTAGCACAAAAGGAGCATAGCCTTTATCTATTATATACTTTGTTAAAATAACATTTAAGCAAATTATAATGAAATTGTAGGCAATAGTTAATACTGAAGTATACAAGTATGCTTGACATATTGTTTTTTAAAATTAATTTTATTGGTATACATTTTAGGTATACACTATAATGACATTCATCATTGGAGATTTGTACCTTTACATAATATATGATTCTTATTTTTCCCCCTTTCCCCTGCCCTCCTTCAACCCCTCTACCCCTCTCTATTTACAAAGACTTTGTTTCCATTTTTTCACTTTCTCATATTACTTCCACCCCCTTTTTTCCTTTCCCCTACCCGTTACTTTCCCTTCCCCTTTGCAACTTTTTTCCTATTTCACATTATCTATTAGACATTTTTTATCCTTATTTACATTTTCAGTTTCTCACACCACATAAACTATTTTATTTACACATATGTGTCCTATTTTTTTTTCCTTGAGTATCACCTCAATGAGCATCCATTTAGCTATAAACGTCTCTAATTTCTCATTCTTTATGGCTGAGTAGTACTTCATTTTATATTAAAAAAAAACATATTTTCTTTATCCAGTCTCCAGTTGATTGGCAACTGAACTGTTTCCAAGTTTTAGTTATTACAAACTGTGCTGCTATGAACATAGGTACACATATATCACCGTGGTATGATTATTTTAATTCTTTTCAGATTCCATTCCATACCCATCAGGGGAATATCTGGGTCAAATGGAACCTCTAATACTAGTTTGTTGAAGTATCTCCATACTGATTTCCACCAGTCTATGCTCCCACCAACAGTGCAGAAGTGTTCATTTTTCCCCAAATCCCCACCAGCATTTGTTATTGGTTGATTTCATGATAGCAGCCATTCTTTCTGGGGTTAAGGTGGAATATCAGTGTTGTTTTCATTTGCATCTCTCAAATGACCAGTGGTGTTGAACAATTTTTCGTATGTTTATTTGCTATTTCTACTTCTTTGTCTGAGAAATGTCTGTTCATTTCAGATGCCCATTTTTGGATTGGGTCTTTAAATTTGGGAGGTCTGATTTTTTAAATTTCTTTATATATTCTAGATAGTAGACCTTTGTCTGAGGAGCAGCTGGTAAAACAAATTTCCACATTGTGGATTGTCTCTTCACATTGTTGGTGGTTTCTCTTGATGTCTGGAAGCTTTTTACAAAGAGATCCTACTTGTTGATTTTTTGTGCTAGTTCATGTGCACCTGAGGTTTTGTTCATGAAACCTTTTACTACACCAATGTCTTCAAGAGTTCTACCTAACCTCTCTTCCAGCTGGTTTAGTGTTTTTGTTTTAATATTTAGATATTTGATCCACTTGGAATTTTAGTTTAGTGCATAGTCTAAATTTAATCTTTGGCAAGTTGAAACCTAGTTATCCAAGCACTTTTTATTAAAGAGGCTATCTTTCCTCCAGGGAGGGTGTTTGGCTCCTTTGTCAAAGATGAGGTAGCTGAGTGTCTGTAGTTGTTTCTACATCTTCTAATCAGTCCCACTGATCTTTGGGTCTCTTTCTTTGCCAATACCATGCTGTTTTTATCAAAGAGGCTTTGTAGTAGTTTCAAGTTGGGGATTGTGATACCCCCCAACCTTGTCGTTGTTGCCTAGAATTGCTTTTACTATTCTAGGTTTCTTCTTATTCCAAATGAATTTTTGGATTGTTTTCTCAGGCTCTGTGAAGGATCCTACTGGAATTTCAATTCGGATTGCACTGAATCTATATAGCAGTCTTGGAAGAATGGCGATTTTCACTGTATTGGTTATTCCTACCCAGAAGCAAGAGATGTCTTTCCATTTTCTGATATCCTCTTTTATCTCTTTTTTCAGAGTGCTATAGTTTTCAGAGTAGAGGTCTTTGATTTCTTTCATTAGGTTGATTCCTAGGTTTTTCATTTTTTTGAATGTTATGGTTAAGGGAGTTGTTTCTCCAGTTCCTATTTCAGTGAGTCTGTTGTTTGTGTACAGGAAAACTATTGATTTTTCTATGTTGACGTTGTATCCAGCTACTCTACTGAATGTGATTATTAAGTCTTAGAAGAATTTTGGTGGGGTTCCAGTGTCTTCTATATAGAGTATCACGTCATCTACAA